TGGTCTGTAGTTCTTTGCTGTTGCTTTACTGGTGAGTATACAGGTGGGTATCCCCTTGTGAGTATATAGATGGGTTCCCTTTGTGAGTAAATAGATGGGTATCCCCTGGTGAGTATATAGATGGTATCCCCTGGTGAGTAAATAGGCGAGCATCCCCTGGTGAATATATAGGTGGGTATCCCCTAGTGAGTATATAGGTGGGTATCCCCTGGTGAGTACATAGGTGGGTATCCCCTGGTGAGTATATAGGTGGGTTTCCCCTGGTGAGTATATAGGTGGGTTTCCCCTATTGAGTATATAGGTGGGTATTCCCTTGTGAGTATATAGGTGGGTATCCCCTGGTGAGTATATAGGTGGGTTTCCCCTGGTGAATATATAGGTGGGTTTCCCCTGTTGAGTATATAGGTGGGTATCCCCTGGTGAGTATATAGGTGGGTATCCCCTGGTGAGTATATAGGTGGGTTTCCCCTATTGAGTATATAGGTGGGTATTCCCTTGTGAGTATATAGGTGGGTATCCCCTGGTGAGTATATAGGTGGGTTTCCCCTGGTGAGTATATAGATGGGTATCCCCTGGTGAGTATATAGATGGGTATCCCCTGGTGAGTATATAGATGGGTATCCCCTGGTGAGTATATAGGTGGGTATCCCCTGGTGAGTATACAGGTGGGTTTCCCCTGGTGAGTATATAGATGGGTATCCCCTGGTGAGTATATAGATGGGTATCCCCTGGTGAGTATATAGATGGGTATCCCCTGGTGAGTATATAGGTGGGTATCCCCTGGTGAGTATACAGGTGGGTATCCCCTTGTGAGTATATAGATGGGTTCCCTTTGTGAGTAAATAGATGGGTATCCCCTGATGAGTATATAGATGGTATCCCCTGGTGAGTAAATAGGCGAGCATCCCCTGGTGAATATATAGGTGGGTATCCCCTAGTGAGTATATAGGTGGGTATCCCCTGGTGAGTACATAGGTGGGTATCCCCTGGTGAGTATATAGGTGGGTTTCCCCTGGTGAGTATATAGGTGGGTTTCCCCTATTGAGTATATAGGTGGGTATTCCCTTGTGAGTATATAGGTGGGTATCCCCTGGTGAGTATATAGGTGGGTTTCCCCTGGTGAGTATATAGGTGGGTTTCCCCTATTGAGTATATAGGTGGGTATCCCCTGGTGAGTATATAGGTGGGTATCCCCTGGTGAGTACATAGGTGGGTATCCCCTGGTGAGTATATAGGTGGGTTTCCCCTGGTGAGTATATAGGTGGGTTTCCCCTATTGAGTATATAGGTGGGTATTCCCTTGTGAGTATATAGGTGGGTATCCCCTGGTGAGTATATAGGTGGGTTTCCCCTGGTGAGTATATAGGTGGGTTTCCCCTATTGAGTATATAGGTGGGTATCCCTGGTGAGTATATAGGTGGGTATCCCCTGGTGAATATATAGGTGGGTTCCCCTGGCGAGTATATAACGCAAAAGCGTTTGACAAGTGCGTTCATGGCCTAATAGCACACAAAATACGTACTAAGGTAATAAATGGGAAAGTGGGGAGATGGATATTCAACTTCCTAACAAATCGAACACAGAGTAGTGGTCAACAGAGTTAAATCAGAGGCTGCCATAGTGAAGAGCTCTGTTCCACAAGGCACAGTTCTCGCCCCCATCTTATTCCTTATCCTCATATCAGACATAGACAGAGATGTAAACCACAGCACCGTATCATCCCTTGCGGATGATACTAGGATCTGCATGAGGCTGTCATCTGCTGAGGACGATTATTTATCCATACCTCACCTATGCTATTTGTACTTGGGGATCAACTGCAGCAATGCACCTAAAGCCAATAATAACCCAACAAAAAGCTGCAGTAAGAATAATCACTAAATCCCATCCCTGGCAACACACCCCCCACTCTTCATAGATCTAAACTTACTCCCTGTTCATTACATCCACACTTACTACTGTGCAATCTACATCTACAGGACCTTAAACTCCAATATCAACCTTGACCTAAAACGCTTTCTTGATAGTTGTGACAGAACCCACAGGCATAACACCAGACACAAACATCTCTACGACATTCCCCGTGTCCGACTAAACCTTTACAAAAATTCAATGTATGTCAAAGGCCCTAAAATCTGGAACACCCTACCTGAGAACTCTAGAACTGCAGACACATTCATCACCTTCAAAACTACCATTAGAAAATATCTTATCTCCCTGATACACCCCATCAACTAACTACACGAATACCACCTGGTGGTTCACACTTACACTCACTCACCCATTTGACCATAAATAGAAATATTAATCTCAATCTTAAAATAATGAATCCTGTGATACTCCAAGACTGAAACTATGTACTGTGCCAAAACAAAAGCATTCACACTGCTAAACTCACAAACTAGTATTTAGTCACTTAGCCATAATACCAACTTACCTCATAATTTGTAATATTTTAATATTAAGAATTAAACTAAGTCTGCCCGAAATGCCTAGCCATGCTAGGTGCTCTAGTGGTACACTCTGTAATTATTATTTTACTACATGTAAACCACACAATAACCAAATTCTGTAAACTCAGCATTGTAATCCTTATAGAGAATAAACTTTGAATTTGAATTTGAATTTGAAGATATAAACAAAGTTTTCCAGTGGGTAATGCTGTATAGCCCTTGTGGCTTAGCGCTTCTTTTTTATTATAATAATAATCCAGTGGGCAACGGTAAACAATGTGATGTTCAATGAGGACAAATTCCAACTACTCCGTTATGGAAAACTGGAGGAGATAATAACTAGAACAGAGTATACTAAAGACTCTGGCCATACAATAGAGCGGAAAAATAATGTAAGGGACCTGGGAGTAGTAATGTCTGAGGATCTCACTTTCAAGGATCACAACAGTGCCACGATCACACGTGCAAAGAAAATGATAGGATGGATAATGAGAACATTCAAAACGAGAGATGCCAAGCCAATGATGATCCTTTTCAAATCACTTGTTCTCTCTAGGCTGGAATACTGCTGTACATTAACATCCCCATTCAAAGCAGGTGAAATCGCAGATCTAGAGAGTGTACAGAGATCCTTTACTGCATGTATAAGTTCTGTCAAGCACCTTAACTACTGGGAACACTTGGAAGCACTTGACTTGTACTCGTTGGAACGCAGGAGGGAGAGATATGTCATAATCTACACTTGGAAAATCCTGGAAGGAATAGTCCGGAATCTGCACACAGAAATCACTCCATACGAAAGTAAAAGACTGGGCAGGCGATGCAAAATGCCCCCAATTAAAAGTAGGGGCGCCATTAGTACACTAAGGGAAAATACCATAAGTGTCCGAGGCCCAAGACTGTTCAACAGCCTCCCATCAAGCATAAGGGGAATTACCAACAGGCCCCTGGCTGCCTTCAAGAGGGAGCTGGACACCCCCTAGTGAGTATGTAGATGGGTATCCCCTGATGAGTATATAGGTGGGTATCCTCTGGTGAGTATATAGGTGGGTACTCCCTGGTGAGTATATAGGTGGGTACCCCCTGGTGAGTATATAGGTAAGTATCCCCCTGGTGAGTATATAGGTAGGTATCCCCCTGGTGAGTATACCTGGAGTTTACCTGGAGAGAGTTCCGGGGGTCAACGCCCCCGCGGCCCGGTCTGTGACCAGGCCTCCTGGTGAATCAGAGCCTGATCAACCAGGCTGTTACTGCAGGCTGCACGCAAACCAACGTACGAGCCACAGCCCGGCTGGTAGGTATCCCCCTGGTGAGTATATAGGTAGGTATCCCCCTGGCGAGTATATAGGTAGGTATCCCCATGGTGAGTATATAGGTAGGTATCCCCCTGGCGAGTATATAGGTAGGTATCCCCCTGGCGTGTGTTTATAGGTAGGTATCCCCCTGGCGAGTATATAGGTAGGTATCCCCCTTGCGAGTATATAGGTAGGTATCCCCCTGGTGAGTATATAGGTAGGTATCCCCCTGGCGAGTATATAGGTAGGTATCCCCATATTGAGTATATAGGTAGGTATCCCCCTGGTGAGCATATAGGTAGGTATCCCCCTGGAGAGTATATAGGTAGGTATCCCCCTGGCGAGTATATAGGTAGGTATCCCCCTGGCGTGTGTTTATAGGTAGGTATCCCCCTGGCGAGTATATAGGTAGGTATCCCCCTGGCGAGTATATAGTTAGGTATCCCCCTGGTGAGTATATAGGTAGGTATCCCCCTGGCGAGTATATAGGTAGGTATCCCCATGGTGAGTATATAGGTAGGTATCCCCCTGGTGAGTATATAGGTAGGTATCCCCCTGGAGAGTATATAGGTAGGTATCCCCCTGGCGTGTGTTTATAGGTAGGTATCCCCCTGGCGAGTATATAGGTAGGTATCCCCCTTGCGAGTATATAGGTAGGTATCCCCATGGTGAGTATATAGGTAGGTATCCCCCTGGTGAGTATATAGGTAGGTATCCCCCTGGTGAGTATATAGGTAGGTATCCCCCTGGCGAGTATATAGGTAGGTATCCCCTGGTGAGTATATAGGTAGGTATCCCCCTGGTGAGTATATAGGTAGGTATCCCCCTGGCGAGTATATAGGTAGGTATCCCCCTGGTGAGTATATAGGTAGGTATCCCCCTGGAGAGTATATAGGTAGGTATCCCCCTGGCGAGTATATATGTAGGTATCCCCCTGGTGAGTATATAGGTAGGTATCCCCCTGGTGAGTATATAGGTAGGTATCCTCCTGGTGTGTATATAGGTAGGTATCCCCTGGCGAGTATATAGGTAGGTATCCCCCTGGCGAGTATATAGGTAGGTATCCCCCTGGTGAGTATATAGGTAGGTATCCCCCTGGTGAGTATATAGGTAGGTATCCTCCTGGTGAGTATATAGGTAGGTATCCCCCTGGCGAGTATATAGGTAGGTATCCCCCTGGCGAGTATATAGGTAGGTATCCCCCTGGCGAGTATATAGGTAGGTATCCCCTGGCGAGTATATAGGTAGGTATCCCCCTGGCGAGTATATAGGTAGGTATCCCCCTGGCGTGTGTTTATAAAGTAGTGTTGGTCAGCAGTAACACGAGTGTCAGTGATAGACTCGGCAGTAGCAGCTACCACTGAGCTACCTGCTAGTGTACTGAAGCAGGAGAAGACGAACTACCGGAAGTACTCCAGGAGATCCTGGAGTACATCCTTAAGGAGGAGGAGATCCTGAAGTACATCCTTAAGGAGGAGGAGATCCTGAAGTACATCCTTAAGGAGGAGGAGATCCTGAAGTACATCCTCAAGGAGGAGATCCTGAAGTACATCCTTAAGGAGGAGGAGATCCTGAAGTACATCCTCAAGGAGAAGATCCCGAGTCAAGAGGAGATCCTGAAGAAGGTCGTGAAGTAGAAGTAGGATAAGAAGGTCGTGAAGTAGAAGTAGGATAAGAAGGTGGTGAAGAAGATGGCAGGTTACGAGGGTCTGTGTGACAAGTCGTGTGGCAGGTTTGGTGAGGTTACAGAGAGGAGATCGACTTCCCTGCTGAGGGACCTACAGTTCCTGAGGGAGGTGAAGAAGGACCTGGTGGTGGCCCGGGAGCAGTGCTACCACCGAGGACTACTGCAGACCACCAAGTGGTACGATAAGATAAGATTTTGTTAGGATTTTTAACCCCGGAGGGCTAGCCACCCAGGATAACCCTGGAAAGTCAGTGAGTCATCAAGAGACTTGTCTTATTTCTGTTGTGGTCCTTCTATCTTGTCCCCCAGGATGCAACCCACACCAGTCGGCTAACACCCAGGTACCTACTCTCTTGCTAGGTGAACGAGACAACAGGTGTCAGGAAATGCTCAGCGTTTCCACCCATGCCGGGGATTGAACCACGGATACTCAGTGTGTGAAGTGAGAGCATTGCCTGCCAGGCCACGGGCCACGATACTAATCATATTGACTTTGCTTCAAACTAATCTGTATGACCCTTGTGAGTTTAGTGCTTGGTTTTTATTTTAATAAAAATAATTTCAAACTAATTTACTGGTACACAATAATATGAAACCCCATAGTACCAAGGACCCCAATAACAAATATGAAATTTTTATTTCCGTATGATAGATTACATGGTATTACAAGACTGGATGACATTCAATAGTATCTGTTAGTTATCTTACACATTTACTACAAGTACATGTATATGGTATAAAGCCCCTTGTTATGCTGAGCATTTCGGGCAAATTAGGTCAGTTTTGTCCCAGGATGCGACCCACACCAGGTGACTAACACCCAGGTACCCATTTTACTGATGGGGAACATAGACAACAGGTGTAAAGAAACATGCCCAATGCTTCTACTCTGGCTGGGAATCGAACCTAGGCCCTTGCCGTGTGAAGGATGGTGGAAAAAATTTTTCTTCCCATAGGCACAAAATATAAATAGGTACGTTTATTGCACAACCAACTTATTGTTGGAAAATTTACAAAACTTACTTTCTGAGCAGCTAAAGTAAATATTGACTAAATCAACATAGTATACTATGCTTTTTATGTGCCCATAACATCTGAAGACCATAGGAGAAAAGTTTGCTATGTATGGAAAGCCTAAAGTTTACAAACTCTTCCCTGCCACTCTCCGGACGTGACCTACAACAGTTGGCTAATCACTATTTGCTGCTAGACAAACTGGGGTAATAAGTGTAAGAAAATGTCTTCATTGGCTTTATCCGCCTCAGGACTGAACCCAAGTCTTTTGCTTGTGAACTAAAGGTGATACCACTAAGCAAGTCATCAGTTTGTATTTTTATTGTATATATATTTTTTTTAGTTGTCCATGAAGCCATTTCTATTGACTTAGCATTCATTGTGATTCCTATCTTTTTATTCACCATTCCCATCAAAGACAGCAACCTTTTCATGGGGAAGGGGGTGAAAAGTGTTGCTTTCTTGGACCCAGCAGGCAGTGCTGGCAGGAATTTTGTTTACAATTGGCAGATAGAGCTTTCTTTGCTATTTTTTCCTATTAGTGATTGGCTGGACTAACATTGTTAGCCATCAACACAGGACTTCCGTATGGGATCATTGGTTCCACCTATTTGAGGGGGTTTCTTAGTATCCTGGGTTTGGTTAACATATATTTAGAAGTGGGACTAATGTTGGGAGCTCATAAAGGGTGCTGATAATTCTGTCCAGTCTGTCTGTACTTAGTTCCCTCATCTCTTGGTAGTCACAGTCCAGGCTGTGGGGGCATTGAACCCTGGAACTTTCTCCAGGTAAACTCCAGGTAGTGACCCTTGACTATTAATATAGAAAGTAGACTAATATAGAAAGTAGACATTAATTTATTTTCATTATCATATATTATATATATATATATATAATATATATATATATAATATATATATTATATATATATAAAATATATATATATTATATATTATATATATATATATATATATATATATATATTATATATTTTTTATTTTTTTTTTATTATCACACTGGCCGATTCCCACCAAGGCAGGGGGGCCCAAAAAAAGAAAAACTTTCACCATCATTCACTCATCCCTGTCTTGCCAAAAGGGGGTGCTTTTACATTTAAGTTTTTAAACCCCAACATTCTATTATATATTTAAATTATTTATATATACACATACAAAACATACTACATACATACATATATAAATATAAAATTTTAAATTTAAAAATACAAAACAGCGGCCCCCCCGATTTTTTGGGGTTTTAAATTTCTTTTCCCAAGAGCCCCCGAAGGTCGAAATTCACGAAACCGAAACCATTTTCCCCATAAAAATAATGGAAAAAAAATTTTTAATTTTCCGTTCCGGGACCCCAAAAAAAATTTTTAAAAAAAAATTTTTTTTTTTTTCACAAAACCCTCGAGGCCCAAATTTTAAAAAAAAAAAAAACTCGCGAAGGCCCAATTTTGGGCAAAAGGGGCTGCCAAAACCCTGGGGGGTCCACTGTATATTTTATACCCTCCCACCCCGATTTACACCTCCCCAAATTGGGCGACCACTCGACTTAGGGACCGTTTTTTTTTATGAAAAATTTCGGGGAAAAAAACAACTATTTGTTTTTTACACAGTTTTTTTCCAAAACCCTTACAGTATAAAATACAGTACTAAAAAACTTTAAAAAGAAAAGGGTAAAACTTGAAATCCCAAAAATTAAAACTTTTAAAATAAAGCCCCTTTACAAAAAAATGTTTTTTTGATATTCGTAGTAAATTTTGGGATTTTACGCCCTTTTTCCAAATTTACAACCGGTTTCTGGGGGAAACCGAACTCCGGTCGTAAGTCGGATTGTAGGTGGTGTGTGGTGTATATATATAATATATATTTAAATATATATATATTATAAATTTTATATTTTATTTTAATTTTTTTATTTTTTTTTTTTTTTTTAAAAAGTCGACCGTCTCCCCCCGGGGCAGGGGTGACCTAAAAAAAAAAAAGAAAACCCCCCAAAAAAAAAAAAACTTTCATCATAATTCCCCCACTTTCACCACCTCCCAATTTCACTGTTTTTTTTCAGAGGGGGCTCAAAAACCCACAGTTTAGAAGATAACATATAAAGATACACAACATATCCCTCCCAAAATGCCAATTAACCCCCAAACCCCCCCCTTTTAAATGCAGGGATTGTACTTTCCCCTTTCCAGGGTCAAGTCCGACTATTAAAATAACCCGGGTTTTCCCCGAATCCTTTTACTAAAAAATTTTCCCTGCCTTCCCCACTCCAAAAGAAACGTCAGGGCCCAAGTACCCTTTGTCTCCATTCACTCCACTAAAAACCCCCTCCCCGCAAGCTTGCTGGGGAAAACCAAGCCCCTTGCCCCAAAGCCTCCTTTACCCCCTCTCCCCAACCCTTTCGAGGCCCCCCAAACCCCGCCTTCCTTCCCCTATAGTTTTTAAAATGTTTTACATGTCATTCTACTTGATCCATCTCTCTAAATGACCAACCACCTCAACAACCCCTCTTCTCCCTCTGACTAATATTTTATTAACTCCCCCCTTTTTCCTTTTTCCACCCCCCGAATTTCTGCAAAATTTTCACCACACTTTGCCCTTAAACGGGACACTCCACTCCTCCAACCGTCTCCCCCCTGCGCATTTACCCCCAAGCTTCACACCCTATAAGAGTGTTGGTACTACTAATTTCATACTTTCCCCTTTCTTTGCCCCATAGAAAATTTTTTTTTGACTCCACATATACCTCAACGCACCACCCCACCTTTTTTTCCCCATAAAATCTATGATTAACCTCACCCCTCATAAATCCACCCCGATCGTCAACCCCAAGTATCAAAAAACTTTAAACTTTTTCCCAACCCTTCTCCCCAATTTTGAACCAATTTTTCTTTACAAAATCATTTGACACCCTTCCCTTTCTTTTTTCTATGTTCATTTTCAATTTTTCTACCTTTAAACACACTTTCCCAAACCATCCACTAACCTTTCAATTTTTCTTAGAATCTTCCATAACACAGTATCTCACAAAAAGAAACTGTGTAAATTTCCCATTTTAAATTTGTTTCCCCCAAAAATTTTAACCCACCCCTCTCCCAAAACCCCCTAGTTTTTCTTTTTTACCCCCCACTAAAAATATATTAAAAAACCAGGTGAATTACACACCCCGTTAAGACCTTTTTTTAAAACCGGAATAGTCCCCCTCTCCACACACCCTAACCGACCTCATTTCCCAAAAAACTCTTACAGCATTTAAAACTTACCACCTATTCCATAACTGATTTGCAACATCCCCCACTTGCCCCTCTATCCCTCTATCATATCCCTTTTTTCTAAATCCATAAATGCAAAAAAAAATTTTCCCTCCCTTTTCTAAATACTGTTCCATATATGTTTCAATGAAAACCCCTTGATCTACACCCCCCTACCCACCTGAAACCCCCTTTTGCCACCCAATCCTACTTCTGTCTTACCTCTAATTTTTTAAATTTTAAACCCTACCGTACACTTTTCCGGGGATACTCATAAAACTTATTTCTCAAAATTTTTCAGTCTTTTTTGTCCCCTTTCCCTTTAAAAAAAATGACTATACATGCTCTCCGCCAATCCCGGGTACCTTTCCCCTCTTTCATACTTTTATTAAACAAAAGTTCCAACCACTCCAACACTATATCCCCCCCTGCTTTAGCATTTCTGTCTGACCCCATCATTCCAGCTCTTTCCCCCCCTTTTATTCTACGTAATGCCTCGCGTACCTCCCCCACACTTACATTCTGCTCTTTTTCCTCCTAAAAGATGTATACCCCCTGACCAGTGCATAAAATTAAATGCCTCTGTTTCTTCCTTAATATTTTTAAAAATTTCCCCAAAAAAATTTTCCCCCCTACCAATCCTCCCTCTCCCCACTATAACTCCCCCTCTTTTTTAACTGACAATCCATACTTTTTCCCAGGCTTTCTTAAATTTTTTAACCACCCCAAAATTTTTTTCTTTTTTTCATTAAAATTTCTTGACATGCCTTTCCCCCCCCTATCATCTCTCTCCTTTTTTCATCTCTCTACCACCTCCTTTTTCCTTTTTTACCCCAATATTTCTGCTCTTTTTAAACACTTCTGCTTTTTAAAAAAAATTCTCATAACACCTTTTTCTCTTTTACACACCCTTTACTTCATCATTCCACCATCCCCCTTTTCCCCCCCCCCACCCCCATAACCACAAACTTTTTGCCCCACATTCTATACTTTTTTTAAAACTTTTCCCCCCCCTTCAACCCCCCCCACACCTCTTTGCACTACCCACCTTTCTCCAAAAGTCCTTAATCCACCCGAACTTCCTCCTCCCTTAGTTTTTCACTTTTTACCTCCCTCTTCTTTTTGTTGCCACCCCTTTCCCCTTTTCCCCTCTACCTCTTTTCTCTAACTGTAGCTCAACTAAAAAGGGCCGAATACTTTTTTCCCCTTATAAACATTACATCCCGGGGCCTACCCCCTCAAACCTTTTTATCCACCAATACATAATCTAAAAAACTACTTTCATTTCGTCTACACATACCTGTTATTTATTATCCTTTTTTCATAAAAATATGTATTTCTTATTACCAAATCTCTTTTTACAAAAATACTCAATTAAAGGCCCCTATTT